ATAGGGTTTCTCCCCAGTGTGAATTCTTTCATGTATTTTACAGTAACGTTGTGTACTAAAAGCTTTCCTACATTGCTTACATACATAAGGTTTCTCCCTTCTGTGAGTTCTTTCATGTTTTTTACAATAACCTTGTGTACTAAAAGCTTTCCCACACTGTTTACATACATAGGGTTTCTTCCCAGTGTGAAGTCTTTCATGTATTTTACAATTACTTTGTGTACTAAAGGCTTTCCCACATTGCTTGCATACATAGGGTTTCCCCGCATTGTGACTTCTTTCAAGGATCTGAACATCATTAAGTGTGCTGGCTTTCAAATTTTTCTTATAGGCAAAGGTCTCTTTAAAGTGAGTTCTTTCATTCAGATCAGGGTAGGATTTCCCACATTGATCATATTCATAGGGTTTCTCTCCAGTCTTTGTCCTTGTATCCTTCTGAAAGGACTGGAGATCACCGCAGGTTCTTCCATATTCATTACATTTATACAGCTTCTCTTCCAATCCCAAGTACTCAGATGTCTTCAGTACAGTATGAGCTATGATGGGCTCATTTAGTGACAAATGCCCAACCAGGGGCTTTCTGCAAGCAAGGTCCTCAGCTGGTGTTAAACCAGCTTGTTTAATGTCCACATTAGCATCTGGAGTCCAAAGGAATATTTCTTCATATTGATTCCAACATTTATTTTGATAGCATTTCTCTACCTCTTCACTTCTATAATGATAAAAAAAGCTGCAATAAAATGGGTCTCCATACTAATGATTTACCACAAGTTCTAGTTTGATTTCTCCCAAGAAATTCTGACAATGAATTAATTGGATGCCCTGGAAGATATCTTCAAAACAGCTATTCCCAAGAGTAGTATTCATTTGGGAAGTTTTAAATTGGTATATTGTGTAATACAGAAGGCATAGTTTCATTCTGGGCAATTGGTACTTATGTATATCACACATTGATCTTTTTGATACCTTTCCCCCATCACTCTTTCTCTTTTCTCCTTATCCCATTTGTCTCCCCATCTCTAAAAAGTCAGGCTTTCCTTTTTAAATCACTTCTTTATTTTACTCCCTAATTTATATTTTTGGTTTCTCATATAAGAGAAATCATGTGACCTTTCAAATTCCGTGTCTGACTTACTTAATTTAACACTATAGGATGAAGACCACCAAGTGACATGATATCATTTATCTTTATGGCTTTATATAGCACATTTCTTCTTTCTCTTGACAGTGCTGGGCATCAAACATAGGTCATAGCGCTGAATTACATATCCAGCTTTTCTTTATACAGATCAAACTCAGGACCTTGCACCTGCCAGGCATGCACAGCACTGCTGAGCCACATCCCAGCTCCATCTCCAGCTTTTTTATTTCTTAGATTCTAGTTGATGATTGAGTTGCTCAGAATGAGCTTCAACTTGCCATCCTGCTGAATCAGCTTCCCAGAGTGCTGGGAATGCATCATCACGCCGAGCCTATTCAAACTTTCTTTATCTAGGGCTCGGGATTTAGCTCAGTGGTTCTGGCACCTGCATTGCAAGTGCAAAGTCCTGAGTTTGATCCCCCGGTACCAAAAAAAAACACCAAAAAAAATTTTTTTTTCTTTATCCATGCATCCAATGATGGAACATTTAGGCTGATTCCAGGGATTACCTGTTATAAATTGTCCTGCTTTGAGTATGTGTATGCATGTATCAGTATAATATGATTTTAACTCTTTTGGGTCTACACACAGGAGAGGTATTCCTGGATCAAATGGTTCTTCCATTTTTATTTTTGAGATGTCTGTATTCTGATTATCATACTGGCTATACTTAACATTCTCACCAACAATGATGGAGGGTGCATTCTAAAAATTTTAAAACATGGACTCAATTCTCTGGAGGATGGCTTGAAAACACTTGTTATTACAACACTGCCATTATTTGTACTTTGAATACTGTTTCAAGGCTGGCAATATTTTAGCTCTTTTTTTTTTTTGGTACCAGGGATTGAACTCAGGACCTTGCAGTTGGCAACACAGGTGGCGGCACCACTGAGCTAAATCCCCAGCCCCAGTTAGCAATATTTTAGATAATGAAATGTCTCATATTCACTTGTATACATAGATATCCTGAAGATGGGTTTCTTTCAAAACTCAAAATTCATTTCTTTTCACATATACCTATATATAATACCTAAATGCAATTTCATACATTTTCATAATGGTGATCATGAAAGAACATTTTTTATACTTATATGTCACATGGTGTTACTTGTTGCATGACATCAGTACTCAGTTTCCTATATTGGAATATTTCTGTATTCAGTTGTCAGATTATATATACTAAAACTATACATATCTTTGGAGAATATTTGTGAGATTAAATAAATTTGAACATGGCCATGTATCCTTGGTTGTGAGATTTCTATTCACACACTGAATCTTGAGAAAGATACTTTTTACTTTTGAGTGCAAATTACCTTAGATTTCTCCAGTAATTTTTGTACTCTTCTTCAACTTCCCAGTTATGCCAGGCTCTTCCTGAGTTATAGACATAGAAATATGAGACACTATATTATTACATTAAAATGAATAGGTTCCAGTTAGTTTAGGGTATAATGTAACCAGGACTGAGATATTCTTCAAAATGTTTTCACATTCTATTTAATGAAACTACACTGATGAGCAATAAACAATGTTCTCTGATTAAATAAATGAGAAAGGGGTATTATCCTTACCTATAGCAGCCATGTTCCTAAAGGTTTCCCTCATCACATCTCTGTACAGCTGCTTTTGGGATGGATTCAGCAAAGCCCACTCCTCCACGGTGAAGGTCACAGCCACATCCTCAAAGGTCACTGCTTCCTAAATGATCACACATATATTTCTTGAAGAAAGGTTAAGACTCACAGCCTGTGATATCTCAATTCCTCTTATAAAAAGTTGAATTGAGAGCAAGGTGTGGTGATGCATGTCTGCAATCCCAGCACTCTGGAGGACTGCCATGTGGGCTACACAGTGAGTTTAAGGCCAGCCTGAACTGCATAGTAAGACCCTGTCTTGGAAAAAAAAAAAAAAAAAAAAAAGGCAAAACAAAAAAGTTGAATGGGGGCCGAATCCTTCAAATGTTAACTCCATGTCTTGGTCATCAAATCCATGTGTATGCACATTTTTTCAGACAGCAATTCTGAGGCTAGATTGCCCCTCACTGCTAAAGTTATAGCAGAAGAAGAGCACTGGTTCTGGGGTCACTGCGAGGGAACCTGTGCACTGATGCACATCTCTAAAGCCCTAAAGCAGAGCCCACAGTGGGAGCCTACAAGGTGACCAGCCACAAAACACTGGGGCAGTTGAATAGCTAATGAACGGTTCTGCTGAACCACAGGTAATATCTCTTTCAAATCTTATTATTTATGCAGAGTCCTTCTTCTTTGATTGTACATAGGGAGCATTTTGAAACTTGAATTTTGTTTCATTCAACATCAGGTCATGTTTATGAATAATAATTAAAATGTTAATGGAAAAAGTTTTATTGGAACAAGTCTATGAAGACAGGAAAATAGTGGCATTTTATCTTATAACTCAGTATCACCAAATGGTCACCTTGCACTCAGATAGAAATTCTAGGGGATTATGAGAGAATAATGAGGGGAAAGAGATGAATATATTGGAAAGTAATTAGGCACAAAATGAAAACTTCATTCAGGTGTGGTGGTGCATGCCTATAATCCTAGCACCTGGGATGCTGGTGGAGGAGGACTGTCATGGAGTTTGAGGCCACCCTTGGCTACACAGTAAATTCAAGGCCAGTCTGAAATACAAAGTGAGACCCTGCCTCAAACTCCCTCCAGAAAAGGATAACTTAAAAAAATGATCATTTATGAATGACACCTTTGATTTGTTAAAATTTTATAGCTGTACAACAAAAATCTAACATTTAATACCTTTTAAGCAAGAAAGTTGATAACTTACATGATATACATGAAAGACATTCAAATTCCACCTCTCATGAGATTGTACTATTAATAAAGAGGATGACAATGGATCTCAGAAAAGGAAGACAGTCTTCAGTGGGTGTATATATATATATATAGAGAGAGAGAGAGAGAGAGAGAGAGAGAATATTGATTCACGACAGCTGATGCTATGTGTCTCTGGAGGAAATCACAATCTGCTTCATTCATGTTCAGGGAGAAATAGGTATGTACTTGGAAACTTGGGACTGTATACTCTTCTATGTAACAGCAAGTTATGTACTGAAATGGGCAAGATAAATTTGAATGCCTTGAGAATTCACAGTGAAATAACTTTTAGATATGAAAAAAGTGTTTCCTCATGAGAAAATCAACTATCAGAATTAGAAGGATAAACTGAAATATATGAAAATCGTGGGAAATAAGAAGAAAATATTTGCTTTGTACACAGTATAAAAATTTTGCATAAGGAGGAAAGATTAATGAACACAAATCTCAAAAAATAGCTACAACATATGTAACTCAAGAGAAAACACTAAATAAAAAATAAGAACCAAGTCTTTTTTCAGAAAATCATTAAATAAAAACAGAAGTGTGGAAGAACACAATAAGGATGCAGACTTGTGCAAAATGGAGAATAAATTGATATATTCTACACTCATTTCCTTTACGTTGGAGCTTATCAAAATCTGTAGACCACTGACTTCATTCCACTGTCTACAGAAAACATTGTGCTGTTATTCCTGGAGATAGATGTGATTCTTTTCAAGTAAATTTGAAAAAATCCTGAGCCTATGACCAATGGAATGGATGAGAAAGCACTTTGCCCTTGATTCACATTCAGCACTTGTGAACAATAGTGAGATGGAAAAACAACAACAAAACAACAAGAAAATATTTTTCTTGGCAATTTCTAGAATAATCACTTATTGAAAATTCCAAGGGAGGAAATGAAAAGAACACTGTTCATAGAAAATCACACAAGGTAAACTTAGTCACCAAGGTGGGAGAGTGGTCATCCATGAAGCAAGAGAGGTTTGAGTCAGGCAGGATCTCAATCACTTAGATAACTCTCATCCATTGCCCAAGGCCCAGGGATGAAACTTCCTGAATATTCCCAGGATACAGTATAACCCTGCAAAATTGCGGTTTGGAGTTCACAGCCTCAGTTGTTCCTAAGATTTTTCCTTAGACCCTAATAATTGTGGAAACCCTTGCAATGTCATGAAAACCACAAATATTCTTTGCAATTGTTTTTTGGTTGGAGATTTGCAAATAGCCAGTTTGAGAGTGTTATTTGATTCTCCTTGCTCTTGATTGGCTGCTGTCCTGTAACCCATCTTTGGCAGTTGTGCTAGCATTCCTGAATCATAACAGGGTGCTGTACCAGGTGTAGATGTCTCCACTGTTCTCAGTTTTGTTCTTCTTTAAAGCCCTAAAATCCCTAAAATGCTGCCAAAACATCTGGCACCTTCTAAGGCTTTATTAATACAGTATTTTATTAAGCCAAATTATATAACTATAGGAGACATTGCATATTTAGAGTTTGAACTATAAAAATAGGCATTTTTCTGACCATATCTGAAATTTCTGGGGTCTACTGTATTTACATTGTTATTGTTAAATCTCACCAACAATTTTGAAAATAAAATATACTGCAAAATATTTAAACATTAAATTACAATTAAGAAAGTACACATTAATTTATACCTGTTGCCTTCATTCATATATGCGAAGATGAGACATTATTCACACATTGGACACCAATAAGCAAAGTAGCATGGATGAAAACAGGAGATGGACAGACCACCAGCAAGCAGTGGCCAAACTCTATATTGTCCATCAGGAGAACCTTGTTAGACTCTCAGGGAAAGAGAAAACAGCTATCAGAGCTGATCAGTGTCTAGGTTCTTATTTTCTATTTTCATCTCTGGGTTATGGTGCCAATACTATGCCTACATGGACAGGAGTGGTTATGTTGACATTGATGAGAATAGATTACATAGAAAAGTATGCAAAAAGACACACTAGTCTACCACTGATTCAACAAAATCTGCAGAAGTTATATTGAGATTACTCAATTTGTACTTCAAAATAATGACTGCAGTGATCAGATATAAAAGGCAGTTATCCAAAAACAGTCAAAATACATATTCCACTAAACAGTACCAAATTACATGAGACAAAACATGAATGCGAAGAGAAAAATGTATGATTCACAACTATGCCTGAAGATTTCAAAACAACTCTATCAGTAATTGTTAGCTGAAGAAGGAAGATAAATCTGTAATGGAACAGTTAAAATTGACAACATCATGCTTTACAGGGATTCAATGGATACTGTATAACACTTTATCAAATAGCTACATAGTACACATTCTCCTCAAAATCACAAGAAATATTCACTCAAATAGAATATGTTCAGAGGAACAATAAAGAATTTAATTTCTAGGGGGAAAAATTGAAATGTGTTATGGACATGTATCAACTCACTGTAATGAATGTAATCATTATGTACTGTAAAGCAATAAAAGCCAAAAGGAGAAACACAGAAAAAACTTATTATGAAGTAATGTAAATCATGCAAAGGAGGATCTCACACCTATTGAAATGAAACTCGAGACCAACAGCCGAAACATGTTTAAAATATTACTAAGAATTAGAGATTAAATCACAAATTTTTAAGACACATGCTTCAAATGAAAAGCTTGATTAAATATTAAGGATATCACAATGTATGAAAAGGAATATACTGTACAACATATTATCATTTCAGAGACCCAGAAATGGGTGCTTCAAAAGAATATATATATGAAAAAAGAACAAAGATCATAATATCAGAAAATTAGAGAAAGAACAGCAACATAAAAATGAAAATCACTCCCCAGATAATAGATTTCATTGCTCATATTCATGTAGATTATAGGCAACAAAGAAGAAATTACTAAAAGCATCAAAGGAATTATGTAATTAATGTAATTTATTAAAATAAAATCTATAGAACAAGAATTATAATATCAATGGATAAGACAAAACACAAGAAAGAACAAAGTAATAGGCAGAGATTAAGATGGAATACATAAAATTGTCTTCAGTTACGTATAATATTATGGTATATATATGTTGGAAAAATTAGAGTACCAACAAAAAAACTAATGGACTTACTATATCCCTAACTTAATATAAAAGAACATGCCATGTAATTATGTATCAAGTATAAACAAGTGGCTTGGAAATCTTACAACATAATTAAGCCTTCACAGTGAGTTATACAAATGTTAAAAGCCCATATATGAAAGAGGTTCAACACTAGATGTAATAAACAGTATAAAACCACAAAAATATAATAAAACACATTAGATGGACAAGTATAAATAAAACTATTCCCCATGTTGGCAAAACACAATAAAGCCACATGTCTATAAAATAGTAATGAAAATTTTATTAAAAATTTTAAATTTTTTCACTTGCATGACAGCATTTTTTCTTATTCTATCAAAACTTTTGATTCTCATTTGAAGAAAAAAAAATCAATAATAACTTTTTTTTTTGGGTACTGGGGATTGAACTCGGGACCTTGTGCTTGTGAGGCAGGCGAAGGAACCACTGAGCTAAATTCCCAGCCCAATAATAACATTTTAATTCCATCAAAAAAGATTTTTTAAAAAATCACTTTGAAATAACCCAAGACCAGTGGCAGTGGAATAAGGGAGTGAATGCAGACATCTTTTTAAACAATGTCTACAAACTGTCGATGAACTATAGTAATTATGTGAGAAATGGTGCTTTTCTATGTTTTCATTCATTTATCACAAATCAACTGTGGATGCCCTACTTTTTGGGTTTAACAGCTCTTTCTGGAAACTGTCCTTTATAGCATTACTTTCATCCTTCCTTCTTAACATTGATAACTTCCTGTCCATTTTTTTTGGCATTCTAAACCACAAGAAACTTATTATTTATTTCATTACTGTGGATATAACACAGTAGTTGAAGCAGGCTTGACCAGGTCTCTAACACTGACCCTCATCACAGGCAGTGTTAAACATTTCTTCCAATTTTTATGCCACTTGTAAAAACCCTGTAATAACTTTGGAGCTGTGGAGAAATATTGGAAATTTTGGAACTTACTGTCACCACAGTCAAATTCAGAGTGGAGGATACAACTTGAGTGTTTGAGACCCTGTATGTAAACTTTTAACAAATTTAGCATAACTAGTGGGCTTAGCCACTTTCCTGTTACTGAGATAAAATACCAAAAACCCACAACTTAGAGGAGGAGAAGTTTATGTTGGCTCAAGATCAGTTCATATTCTTCTGGATCCAAGGTAGAAACACGATGGCAGAGTGGCACGGTGAAGGAAAAAGTACTCAAGCCATGCAGCCTGGAAGGAGGGAAGGATGGGAGGAGCTGCCAACAAGAACACACTTTCCCAGGCCTGGCCTCTAGTGACCCATCTCCAACCAGTCCTCACACCCAAATAGCACCTCCAGGTACTGAACTCACCAATGAATGAATTCACTGATGAGGGCAGGGCCCACATAAACCAATCAACTTTCAAACTCATGAGACACTTAGGAGACATTTTAGATTTAAAGCATAATACCAGGTCTGCTGCTGGGAGAAAAAACTGGGCACCCAACACTGCAGTTTCACCTACACAGAAACCTCACAGATGCATCACGAGTCTCCCCCTCAACCCTCCTGCTCACTGAACAGCACAGTGAGAAGTGGGGCTGCAGGTACTGAGCTGGCAAAGGCAGGGCTCTGGCCATGGTAAAGTCACCTCACTGGGACAGGACAGGATGCTTAGGGCCTGGCAGATGTCTCAGCCCCACCCAGAGGGTTAGAATGGACCAAAAATATACCAGTGACAGCTGACATATAGGAACAATGATTAACCACCTTATCCAGGAGGCCCAGATCCTTCCAAAGCTCATTTTGTCCACTTCCAACTAGAAGTTGGGCATCCACAAGTCCCACTCTTATGTTGGGCCATTTGGCCTTGCTTAATTGCCATTTTGAGGGCTGAGGGTCTCCCAGCACGTTCCCAGGCAGGCACAGTCAATAGAATTCATAAAGCAAGTCAGGCTAAGCCAAGCTGAGTCTATCAGCAACACATTGGGAATTACTGATTTGAGTGTTTGACAGAAGATTCTATTCTCTGGCCAGCGTGCCTAAATAGTTCATACAACGGAAATTCTTCCTCATGATGCAAGGTTGCTCCATTTTCTGCCCATTGAACCAAGAGGGAGAAGAAAAAACAATACAAAAGCTGCTTGAGTAGAGTTCAAATGACAGATTGTAGATAAAACCCTTCTGAGCCCAGGCTTCCTCCTGAGATACTGATTTGACCCAGTCTTTGGACCATTGCATTGAAGCAAGATTTGCTCCTAGCTTTGCAGAGCTACCTGTATGTCCTTACTGTACTCCTGGGCTCTTTCTTTTTTGTTGCCTCAGGATATAAAATCACAACTGTGCCACTGTACTTCCAGAATCAATGTAAAGCATTATGTCTGGGGTGTCTGAGTAAGGCAAGGAAGTATGACCTTAGCGATTGCTTCTGATCCTGGGCCCTTCATCTCAGGCTCTTTCCCTACTCAAGAATTTCCATTGGAAGGTTGAAGAGTTGGTATTGGAAGCCTCAAGAAACTGGAGACTAACATCCAAAGCAATGGCAAATACCAGAGCTCCTCCACAGAAAAAAAAAGGAAAGGCTTTCTTTCTTCCTTTTTCATACCATTTCAGGTACAAGCTTATTGGTTGGTGTCAACCCCATGCAGGGTGGATTTTCTCTGCTTAGTTTGTGTCCTTCAAGCCAGTCATCCAGACCAAAGCTTTACTAGCTTGCTGATGTTTCCTACTCATCACAATTAATGATCACAAAAACTTAAATGAGTCTTTCTCTAAGCATTCCTTTCACAAATATTTTTCATATGTACAAATTTTAGTCTGAAGCCAGCAAATGTTTGCAAGTACAAAAAGCAAACATTTTCCAGTAAAAGCCTTATGGCAATCAGAGTCACCTCCACAAAAAGAATAACCCCCAAACCATCTGTACATGAAACACCTGCTAAACATGGATTTAAAGCATGAGAATCATTTTTCCTTATGAAAAAGCAAAGACACCAAAATTCATCTTTAAATGATAACTTACAGAAAATATGAACCAAATGTGAATTGGTTTTCTTCTGAGCATTAGTAATGTCATCATTCCAGCTGAATATAGTCCCAACTTGCTCCGTGCCTAATGACTGCCATGCTGTTCATTTTTAAAAGTGATTTCTTTAGCCCCACACTTCAAGTGACCCATGTAGTCATTTCTCTTTTTCAGAAAGTGTAACTGCCATACGTTTGAATATTCCTGAAGCAGAAATACATTACTCAATTTAAATTATTCATTTGAAGCAGTGTTTTTTTGTTGCTGTTGTTTTTTTTGTTTTGTTTTGTTTTGTTTTTGGTACTGGGGATCAAACTTGGTACCTTGTACTTGTGAGGCAGGTGGTGGAACTGCTAAGCTAAATCCGTGGCTTGAAGCAGTGTCAAAAGATATGTGAGGACATTTTAAGTGTACACTAGGGACATATTTTTTGTGGCTATTATTAATGGCCCATTACAGCACAAAAACAATGAGAACACACATCGACTATTATATTGGGCCATATTATACACATTATTACCCAAGAGCTTCTAAGACTCTAAAGAAGAAACCAAAGAGCAGAGGAAGGTGGGAAGTGTGAGGAGAAAAGATGAAATACGGAGGCCATAAGGTTGCTATTAACTACACCTCTAAGAGCTTTATGGCTAAGGCCTTTTCATGTTCTGATCCTTTTTACTGAGGCTGAATAAGAGGGTACTGACTACAGTATGCAGGACTTTTCAAGGAATCTGTTATTTCCAAAAATTCATAGAAGTAAATGACAAAGAAAGAGCTAGAATGCTTTTATAGCTATAGTAAGATAAATTGAGCTTGAGGAGAAGGGTACCTGCTGTTCCTCAGCAGAGTGGATCCTTAAGATGGCAGTCAACAATAGACACAGGAGAACACATTGACAACTAGAGAGCCAATGAAATGAGATCTGACACATGATGAGTAAAATTTCTTCTCACTACAATTTAGCATTAATTGCAAAATGTGGAACAAAACTACTACTGTCATTAAAAAAATGCTATAACTGAACAAATCTGTCTGACTTTCATGGCACTGAGATACAATATTTAGCATCCACAATTTAAAGGAGGAAAGGTTTATTTCGGTTCACAGTTTGTAGAGGTTTCAGTCCATAGTTGGCTGCCTGCAAGGCAGGGTGGCTTGGCTGAGGAGCATGGCATGCAGGAAGCTTGCTAATGGCATGGCATTGGGAAGCAGCAAGCCATTGAGGGAGGAGGAGTGATATATATATATATATACTGCTTTAGGCCACACTACAGTGATCTGACTAATCCAGTACCATCTCCATGACTCAGTCACTTTCCAAAAGCCTCACCTATGAGCTCCTGCTTTGGGAGAACATCTAGATTTAAATCATAATCTCCAGTTAAGTATAAAGGAGACAAAGTGGGGCTATATTATAGAAAACTCACTTAATATATACAACACATACCCACTTCTGCCATGCACATACATATATGCACATATTCATATATATTTCATTATTTTCTCACCATGTCATCACACTAAAGTGTACATATATCCCTTTACTAATTGCTGACTCAGCCTTGTATGTAAGGGTCAACTATAAATTTCAGAGATAACACCTTAACAGAACAAAGGCTAAAAGGAGCTTTCCCAAGAATTTGTATGGAGGCAACAGAGAGGGTCAGCGGCCAAAGTAGCGAATCAAATTATAACAACTCTCAAGGGGGAGGTCCCTTCTTGCCGTATAATAGAAGGGGCTAAGAACAAAGACCCTCAAGTGCCAGCTCCAGGGTCCCTACCTTACTGCAACAAGGTAGCTGTCTATCTCCTCATACTTCTTTCCTCTTTCTAATACAGTGACTTTCTTTCTTTCTTTTTTTTTTTGGTACCAGGGATCGAACTTGGGACCTTGCACTTTTGAGGCAGGTAGTGGAACCACTGAGCTAAATCCCTGGCCCTTATCTTTCCTTCTTAACTTATACCGCTACTTCTTTATTTATATAAGTTTACAAATCTCAGATTAATAAAATTTATCCTCACAAGATGCAACAATAGGATAGGAAGCATTTGTGAATATGCTATGGTACAAGACTGTCTCTGAAATAATAGGACATTTCAAAGTGGGTTTAGATTAGTAGTAAATAGATATGGCTAACATTGGAAAATTAGAAAATTTTGGGACACAATCCTACTAAATTTCTTAAGAAACAATGCAAAGTAGAACAATATAAAATGCCCAATTGAAACAAAGAGGGAGAAAAAACCAGAAAGATTATACAGTATTAGAAACAGAACAAAAAACCCCAGAAAACAGGAAGAAAAAGAAAAAAGCTTTCTTATACAATATTAGAAACAGAACAAATGAAACAATAGCAGACAGAAAAAAGCTCTACAAAAATTCTAATATACTTACCAATATTACAGCATTGTGAAATAATCTGCTCAGTCTTACCTTCTAAAATATGTTTAACAGCATCAGGCTTTAAATTATATTAAATTTCCATTTGTACATAAAAATGACATTTAAAAAATGTAACAAGTGTAAGACATACAAGGGTAAATGTAGACTGAATAGAAGCTTATTCATTAAGATAAACTAATCTAGTACTGATTCAATAAAATTTACCAAATCTTTCCTAGTTTGACAGTATTCAATCTGTACCTAAAAGAAAATAGGATTATTATGATTAAATGATTATATAAAATTATTTCCTCTAACAAATGTAGAAGAAAGTCTTCTCAGAAATCACAAGAAATATTTACCAAGACAAATCAACAGAGAAATAAAGACCTTAACATAGTCAAAGAAATGAAAATAATATCAAGTAAGCTCTTAAAACATAATGGAATAAAGCTGTTTAGATTAGAAACCAGAGCTGAAAAGTGCTTAGAAAAATAGATTAAATCACAAATTTTAAATGACATATGTGTCAAAAGAATGGCTTACTAAATTATTAATTATTTCATAATGTACAATGTACAAAATTGAATCTACATGTTATCATGTTAGAGGGACTTCCAGATAAATTTTCTAAAATGAATGTATTAAAAAAGAACAGAAAACTCAACTTGATATTCAAATATTCCACTTCAAACACCAGTAAAACATCAGTAAGATAAAAATGAAAATTACTCAACAAATAATTGCAAAAAAAAATGCTCAATATTCACTCAGGATTATAGAACACAATGAGAATTATTAAAAGTATGTAAAAATGGGCTATGAATAAATTATCATCCATTACATTAAGAACAAGAAAATATAAGATAGTATCAGTAGATGCACAGAAAACACAAGATAGAAAAAAAAAGCATTGACGTTAAAATGGAACACGTGTTCACTTGCATATAGCATCACTGCATATGCTGCAAAAATTAAAGAACCAACAAAAACTACTAGAATTAATAAGATATTGTAGCATGGTATATATCCCTAACTTAGTTCACAGATATATGTCATTTAACTATGTATCAACTACAAACTGAATTAGAAATTCTTTATATTATACCATATGCATCACACAGAAAGACACAGAAACAATTTTACATTAAAAGCCCACATATGAAAAATGCTCAACACTAGATTATAATCATTTGACCTAACACGATAAAATCATTAATTTTTAATTTTTTCCATATTTTGCACATTAGCAATTTTCCTCATTCTGCCAAAAATCCTAATTCATTATCATCTGAAGAAAATAAATAACACATTTAACAACAACAATAACAACAATTACAAGACTGTTAAAACAACCCAAGAGCAGTCAGTGGAAAAAATGAGTGAAGCAGGTGAAATATGAACTTTCCTATGATCCTCAGCATAATAGGCTGAGAGAGAAACCACAAATAATCTTTTCAGGATAATACTACTAGTTTAGCCTCAAGTATTAACATTCAAAATTCCAAAGACTTTATCCAAGTAAAACACTTCTTATTAATGTGATGGTAAACCCACAAAGTGCATCCACAAAAATCCATCCTGTGGATGCACTGAAAGAAACCATAATTGTTGCATTCACCTGGATCATGGTTCTATGAATCTTTATGCATATTTGTGTTTAATGTAAAATAAATATTTTACTTGTAATTTTTCTGCTCCTTCAAGTGCACTACTCTAATTTCCAACTAAGAATATCAAACCCTTTTGGTTAAATCATGATGAAGCTTCTAAATCTTTGAGGCAACTTGTATTCTTTATACAAAACTTGCTGCAAAAGAAGCAACAGTGAGGCAGGATAGGGAAGTCTGGTTCACTGTAGTTCAAAAGGTAACCCACACCCAGAAGGTTAAACACAGATCACTCTCATTCTGACCATGCAGCCCAGGGTGTCTCACTCCCAGGTGGTGCATGAGGAAGGCAGGAGAAGCCAGGAAATTTAAATCTAGGACTTCTTGAATATCCCGCCAGGGTAAAACTGCTTTAATTTCCACAGGCCTAATTCTGAACAAAGACCAACACTCATTCACAGGCATCTGAAGACTGACCTATTCCTTTTCCCAGTTTCTCTTTTGAACTCAAGTGTGTTGTTGCTAAGCACCAAACAATTCTCTAAAAGGAATTAGTAGGCCCCATATTCAATACTCACAGTATCAAGAGGTAGGACAATTCTGATAAACTGAGATCCCAATCTTAATACACTGTTTAAAAAGCAGATTTCAGGTTAAAGTATGTGATGCTGTGTTTCACCATGAGTCATTCAGATGGTATCAAGGTATGCACACTGATCCATTCTATTAACATAAATGAAGATAAATTATCTAAAAGAGGCTTATAATAAAGAGAACTTTCTACAGTTCAAAAAAATTATAATAGTTTTAAGGTCCCATTTCCAGATTTAGGGGAAAATCAATTAAAAAAAATTGTACTAGGGTCTGGGATGTAGCTCAGTGGTGCCACACCTGCCTAGCAAGTGCAAGGTCCTGAGTTTGATCCCCATGCAAAAAAAAAATTGTACTACATGACTAGTCTAAAATTACAACTTATCTACAGCCTAAAGAATGTAAGGATTTCTTTCAGAATGGACATCACACCTTCTAACTAGAAAATCTTACAACATTCTGGACATAAAAATAAACAGTTGATATTTAATTTAACCAAGCACTGTGACCTTGGCAAGTAGAAGTGATTTTAAAACTACCACTAGAGCTGGGCTTGGTGATCCACATCTGTAATCATATCACTTTCATGGGCTGAAGCAAGGTCACAAGTTAAACCCTTAGGTAACACAGTGAGACCCAATCTCAAAACTTAATACTAACTACTACTAATAACAATTTTTTAAAATGGATGTAGCTGAGATCAAATGTCCTGGATTCAAGTCAATCTACTCATCCAATAACAGACAATGCTATTCCCCTAATTTTTTTTAACCCACAATAAGGCCAGATACAATTTTCTAAGTTTCAATTTTGCCTTATAAGTGGTTAGATAACTTAATAACACAAGACTTAGTAATCTAACATTTCTAAAATTTATTTCTTTCCTTTAAGTCTCTGATATTTGACTGGTATTCAACCCAAGCCAGCACATGACTCCTTGTTTACTGTCACATTAAAATATTTTGACCTCAAAGGTAAATCTTTTCTAGTTCAGGAGCTGACCCTGCCACACTCCATCAGCCCCGCCTTTCCCACATTCTGTCTACTCTTTCCTTACTCGTCGCTGCACCAACAATCCTTTTTTATATCCTACAATTCATATTTATGCAGATCTGACATTTGGTGTTTAAACCCTACAGTTGTACTCCTTGCAAGAAAAGCATTTCATTATTTAAAAAATTTCTACAAACTATCCAAGTCTGTATGGATCATGTGAGAGGGGCCACCCGTGTCTCTTCCCACTCATACCCAAATGACATTTACATGAGGATGGTCCACTTCAAATAGAGGATTAGTTACTGGTTAACATGCAGTCCCTTCTGCAAAGCTGTCATTTGCAATATGAGTTCACTCTCTCCTTCACATATCAGTAATTCCTCCTTCAAATTTTTTGGCATTCTAAACAGTAATGGAAACTTCTTTTTATTCTTATTTCTTTCAATATTGTGGATTTAATAATAAAATTTAGCAAGCTTGGCATCTGCTCAATCACTGAAATTCATTGCCAGCAATGTTAAATCTTTTTTCAAATTGTTTTGGATATTATCAACAACACACAATGATTTTTTTTCCCATTAAGTTTACTGGTACATTTTAGGTATAACATACAGTTACATTCATCATTGGGATCTTGTACCACTACATGAGTATCTTGGTTCTTATTTTTTTCCCCATCCCCCTGCCCTCCCTTCACCCCCTCCACCCTTCCCTATTTGTAAAGATTTTGTTTCCATTTTTTTCCTTTTCTCATATTTTTTCTTTTTCCTTTTTTCCTTTCCCCTACCCTTCCCACTTCCCCTGCTCCTATAGACTTTTTCTTCCTATTACACAATATCAATTATACATTTTTTAAAATTAAAATATCAAGATCTAGGAGACATTATCACAAATTTTACAGAATTTAAAAGGATATAGAAAGCATATTACAAAGTCTTTTTTGAAATAAATTTAACAACTTCTAAGAAGTACCTTGGAAGACAAATTAATGAAACTAACTCAGGAGGAAATATAAAATTTGAATAGCACCTATTAAAGAAAGTATATTCCTAGCTT